TCCAAAAAGCAATCAGATGAAAACTAAGAAGCGTGGGAAACGAGCAGGAATTAGCAGGCACGGATGTGCAGCATCCCAAGCAAGTAGCTACCAGCTTACAAACAGAAGCCGGTAAGAGCAGGCAGGCCGTCTGAGTTGGGGGAAGTGTGAGTGATGCTGCAGGACGGGATAAACGGCTCGGCTCGAACAGAAAGAGACCAAAAGCGCGAGCACGTATGAGATGATTGCCTCTGTCTGGCGTTCAGCCACTGCGGCAAGTACACCCCCCCCCCCACCTAACCACCACCACAACAGGAACCCCTGTACATAATTATTCGCTGATTAGTCTTAACATTCCTGGCTCCTGGCTTATCTCATAAAAGCAGGATGCTACCGTTAAGTGTGCACATACATTTCAAACACCTGCTTAGTAACAAAACACGGAGCGGAAACTTGACCCTCAGCTATTGCCTATAATTATAACCTTCCCGTGAGAAAAAAGACGATACACAAGGGGTTAATATTAACGAGATTTCAGCAGAAATGCGTCCAGGTCGCTAGTTATCTTACATCTTATGATGTGCGTACGTAAAGAAAATACAAGGTAATCGAAATAAATAACACGAATCTACGTGAACTAACAATCGATTGTTAATAAAGAAATATGAAAAAAAAGTTTTTATCAAATAATAGAAGACTTTGCCAACCCTCGGGGAAATGAACTATTTTAGTGGTATTGATTTTAACTTATTCCAGTGCAAGGCTCGCAAGTGTGTGACAGGCGTCTATTTTAAAATTCAATACACGTGGTTGGAAGAAAGCCCACATGAAAAGATTAGCAGAGGAATGGTGACCCCATGTACTCTTCACGATCACCGCCCTTGCCAGCACGTTTTCAGCCACGTGGTAGGGCCAACACGTTTCGAGCATTTAACACCTAGGCCTACTAAAATTACATCGTGTCTCCCTTCTTTGGGCAGTTTTAAAATTGAAGATTTATTTTGGTGCAGTGACATAGTAAGTGAAAATATAATCGTCGTCATGGAATATTTTTGTCAGGTCAAAACGATTATTGGTCAAGCTGTGTCTTGTTTTACGCTGAAGAATATTAACAATTCAATGGAAATAATTATGCCTTTACACAATCACAACAATTCAGTCCATTGTTCTACCTACATATTTGTTACACACAGGTTCTTAAACATAAAAAAATAGTAGCCAAAAGTGAAATTAAAATGTGCCTTGTACCCCCACTCCAAAATCCATTGAATGATATTTATAACTACGTTATACTGGTTAACACATTTCCCTATGTTACACATCTATTTATGTGCGTGTGTGAGAGAGAGAGCACTAAATAACGAATTAGGAAAACATTTTGAGGACAATGATTAAGGCGAGTAAATAGTTACATAACCCAGATTAGTCAAACCAAGTAAAGCAAGTAAATTAAGAATACCTCTGAGGTCCTGAAATAGTAATTGGAATGTGCAGGAAACTAGCTATTTTCAAACTTATTTCATTATTTTTAAATTTAATAACAACAGTAAATAATATCAAATTCAAAGAGAACAAACAAGCAAGTAAATGAAGCTCTTCAAATAAAAAAAGAAAGAAGTTCATAAAGTACTCAATGTTCAGGAGCCAAAGTATGTGGAATCATTGATATAGTAGAAAAAGAGTACTTTTTCTAAACACTGACCATGTTTTTATTTCACAGCAGCAGCAAAAATCAACACAGTAATGATTCAATATACAAATGCAACATAAATAATACAATCTTGCTACAATTTTTTAAAAATCCCATACCATTTTAATTTACAATACACAATCATGTTTGTGTCTAGTTTTAATTTATATTGCATCTTAAACATTCTTTAGAAATAGGCAACACTCCTTTTTGCTGTTTTCACAAGCAAGCTTGCTGACAAAATCAGTTTGAGAAACAAGCAAACCTTTTTTCTTAAGGCAGAGTACTTGCATGCTTATAAACACTTTCTTTATGGTCTAAACAATTGGCCAAACTGTTTACGAACACATCAAAGTTAGACGCCCCTTTTAATAGTGAACCTGGTTCATGTTCAGGAAAAGTTAAGGCAGCTAAGCACTGTGCTGACCACACTATCCCTTCTCATAGACAGAGGTAGCTAAAACAGGCAAACTACTTCACCTGATCATGGAATGTCAGGTTCAAAGGGTACTTTACTTTTTCTATTAAGTACAGGGGTTGGCGTGGTTGAGTCGATAAAGCTCATGGTTGCTAAACCGAAATGTTTAAACCCTCAGGCAGATGAGGCACAATAGCTGGGGACAGCAACTCTTCTAGGAGAGACAACTGCAATTTAAACAACTGCTACCTCAACCAAAAAATATTATAATATAAATTATAATATAAAACAAGTACTTTAGAACTTAACCATTGTGAGAAAAATATGTGAAAGAACTTGCTCACTACTACACCAACAACACAAGTCAAATAGACTTACAATTTTTTAAAATTAAGTGCTTTTTTAACAGTCTGAAAAGACCTAGAATCTAGATCTATTTGTTGTAGTAGAGAGCTTTGTGCCTTGTACCTTGCTGAGACACCAGTTTATATTTTTAAAATAGATCTAGATATCTAGATCTAGACTATGTCACTCTTAGTCTTAACTTAGTCTAACACTACTAAGAGTCTCTTCTTAGGCCTTAGTTACTAGATCCTAGTTAGGCTTAGGGCGGGGAGAGATCAGTTGAGTTGAGACCATATAGCCATATAGTATACTAAATAGTTAGATCTAGAGGGCCTAATTGTGAAGTAAGCCTAGAGTCTAGGTCTAGATCTATAATGAAGACTAAAGAAGAGTGCAATGAAAGCGTGATCTGCCATTTAGTTTAGATTAGTATTAGAATTGATTAGATCTAGATCTCTAGATCTAGATTTCTAGATCTATGTTCACTATGATGACTATGTTGTAATTATGATGTGAATGTTGGAACTAAAGATTCTTTAGAGTTTGTATCTAGATCTAGAATCTAGATCTAAGGATCTAGACATCTAGATTCTAGATCTTCTAGATCTAGATCTAGATTCTAGATCTAGAATCTACGTGTCGTTTACACTACAAAATAACACTTTACTCACTGAGATCTCAAAGAAATTAAATGGCATAATAAAATATAGATTTAGATCTATGAATCAAGATTCTGGATCTAGTCTAAACTCTAATACCCGTTACAGAAGGACTTCAAAAATTCGGTCAGCGCTATGCGACATCGATCTGTTGAACGACGAAACCGGCGATCATTCTATATTTAGCATTATGCTCCCTCTCCTATCCAAGGCTGGAGTTGGTCCGATTGTCAGTTATGGAAATAAACCCTATAAAATCCTACAAATGTACCTTATAAACAATAGTACTGCATTTTTAAAAACAAATATATGCAAGTAATAAACCTACCTTTGTTTGAGTAATGTGGTTCCGTGAGGCGACAAACTAAACGAATGCAGAGTTCCAAAACCTACTTAATTTTTCCACCTGCCGAACGAGTAAAAGATGGTCGAAGTGACGTCACTTTAGAAAACTGGGAGGACCTCTGGTTCGGATCAATCGTATTAAAAGAAAATCAAACCCATTTTAAAGTTAGAAAAACAAAATACTTTAAAAACTAGATCTAAATCTAGTATCATGACTTAAAATAGTACCAATAAACGTTTTATGTCCACGTTTAAATCAAAGAGCCTCTATTAAAACATCGGTTGTATTTTGAATTTTATATTCCGGGATTAGATAGTCTAGGCTAGGACTCAATGAGATAGATAGATAGATCTAGACTAGATCTAGGCCTAGACTTCAAATCTAGATCTAGAATCTAGATCTACCCATCCATTACCCAACGTATTGTGACTGATTAGACTTTGAGTTTAGAGCAAACCATTTTCACCAGTAACCACTGGCACTTTGTGACTTTAGCATTGCTGAGTCCCATATGACAATTGCGCAAGTTTTAAGTTAACATGCAAGGCTAATACTAATACTACTAATAGATCTAAATAATATAAAAGCCGTTCTTTAGTCTAGTCTTTAATAACTGTTTTTAAAAATCTTTTTTAAATGGTCAAGTTATTAATATTAAGTATTAAATTAGTACTAGTGTAGTATTAACTTAATTTGCATGCACACACGTCACACACACATACTGACATAGGCTCATAGTCATAGGCATAGGATATTTAATTTTTTATATAGATCTATATATATATATATATATATATATATATATATATATATATATATATATAATTATATGGTAATCTATCGTTTTGGGTACGTAAAATCGCCCGCGATTTGTAATGTGAAAAACAGGTGACTCCTTAAATTTTAATAATTATTTCACATTTTGAGGAAGATTTATGTTTTAAAAAATTCAAAAATGTTTCCTTGATTCATTTATGTACCTGTTTTTAAACAATTGAATTAAAACTTTTCCGTAATAAATGAAGACTAGCGATGTTTCCAACAGATGCAACCATGCTCATTTACTATAGCAGCCATCTTGTCTAAGTTTTATATTTATAAGCTTTTAGCGCCAGATTCAGGGGGAAGCCACTCTATTTTACAAATGGCTGCTGTTTATATAGCAAATCTTGCTCTCAGACACTGCTGTTTAAAGTTAATTTCTGGCCTGTATCGATATATTTAGCCATTGATTTAGGTTTATTATTCATTTATCTATAATATTTGACACACAAGTATGACAATATACTTCTATTAAAGCCTTGACAATAAGGTAACGTTTTCGTACATAAATAGCCGCGGGCGATTTTACGTACCCAAAACGATAGATTACCAATTATATATATATATATATATATATATATATATATAAGGCCCTATAGTAAGTACTAATAATAGTACTATTAGTAGTCTTAAAAATAATGGTTTGTTTACATTTAGTAATTTATAATTGTTTCATTAAAACAGACGAATTTTTAAAAAACTCTACGATCTTTCGTTTATAAAATCAAGTAGTTTAGACCGGTAACTAATAAAAACAACATGGCAGCAATTTGGCTTGAGAAATTACGCGCTGCACAAAAAACATGTATCATTCAAGACGGTAAAAATCAGATTCAGATATTATTAAAGGGAAATGTAATAAGCGTAGTACTTGTTCAAACAGCTATCGACACAAGTTAATCATATACTCAGAAATATTGACTAAGTAATCATTAAGATTAGGCCTAAGTACAATTTTAGGTAATCTGTCGGTTTGGGTACGTAAAATCGCCCGCGACTAGTAATGTGAAAAACAGGTGACTCCTTAAATTTTAATAATTATTTCACATTTTGAGGAGGATTTGTGTTTTGAAAAATACAAAAATGTTTCCTTGTTTCATTTATGTACCTGTTTTCAAACATTTGAATTAAAACTTTTCAATAATAAATGAATACTAGTGATTTTTCCAACAGATGCAACCATGCTTATTTACTATAGCAGCCATCTTGTTTAAGTTTTTTTTTTTTTGTAAACTTATAGCCGATATAGCGCGAGATTCAGGGGGAAGCCACTCTATTTTACAAATGGCCGTGTTTATATAGCAAATCTTGCTCGCAAACACTGCTGTTTAAAGTTAATTTCTGGCATATATTGATATATTTAGCCATTGACTTAGGTTTATTATTCATTTATCTATAATATTTGACACAAATATATCACAATATACTTCTAATAAAGCCTTGACAATGAGGTAACTTTTTCGTACATTAATAGCCGCGGGCGATTTTACGTACCCAAAACGATAGATTACCCAATTTTAGGTTTAGGTACGTAAAAACGGCCGCGGCTAGTAATGTGAAAGAAAGGTGACTCATTAATGTGGCTTAGTACAAGATAATTGTGATATATTTATGTCAAATATAATAAATGATTGAATAATAAATCAAAAGCATTGTCCAAATACAGGCCAGAAACTTGAGAAAGTAACTTTCTGCACATCGTTTTTATTTGTGTTTCGATATGTCAATTAAACTTAAAACATTAATGAGTACAATAACTTTACTTCTATTCTAATGGTCGAATAAACAATGGTTTACAGTAGCTTATGTTTACAAAACTCAACAAACTTTTCCTGATAATATCTGACACGATATTGTGAGATTACTATTGCTTTTCTTTTTTGCATTTGCATGATTTATTTTTTATTTATATTTATTATGAATAAAATTATATAATTACTTATCATGCATTATTTAAATAACAATTTTAAAAACCCAAATGATTTTTTATTTGCTTTGTATAGAAAATAGATCTATGATACAGAATAAATATGGTAAAATTGATGTCATCAATCTAAAAAGATAAATTTTACCATTATTACTTTGGTGCAGAAACTTTTAGGAAAGGGAATCAATATATTTTATTATAAATATTATGTGTTACTCTGAGATGTGATTATGGTACCATCAAGTTTTGAGCTAGCTGTTTAGTCATAAAGAAAACAAATTCCACAGAAAAGTGCTTTTCACGAATTGGGAGTTAAATGACACAAATTTTTCTTTCACCTAATGGCAGATGAAATTTATTTATTTATATTCCTGTCAAATTATAACAATATTTGGTGAGATATGCAGTGTTTTCATTTATCACAAATACCCTAAAAAGTCACTACCCCCCCCCCCCCCCCCCCCCCCCCCCCTGCACCCACCTTTTAGAAATTTTGTTTTTTTAAAAAGCTATTCTTTATAAAATATTTACTGGGCTTGGCCAAATTGAGTATATTGGTCAGTATTTACAACAACAAAAATGTGTTGAGAACCCATATTAATGTTTAATTCAGTTTCTGGCAAATGTTTGCTGTTCTGAATAGTTAATTTTAAGTTTAATCAATTGACAACTATTGGAAACTGCAGCAGTTTCAAAATTTCTTGTGATATTGAAGCTTGAGCAGAGACAAGATAAAAATGGTTATTTTTTGCTAAGTACTATTAACTAACAACTTTTATGTTAAGAAGCCAGTTGATTGTGTTTGGAAAAAATATCCTGAAAATTTCATTTTATTTTGCACATTGAATGTTTAGTGTTTGCTGTTTAATTATTAATTAATTAAACAATAACAATTTTATGTTCATAAAATATTCAAATAGTTTAGTTCAAATAATTTTTTTTGCAGGTAGGAGAAAAATTCATTTTACATTTTCTGATGGCTTAGAACTAGCTGAAGAATATGATATCAATTCTGAAGAACTTGTCTGTAAGTTACTTTGATATGTTTTGATGAGCTTATTGAATATTTTATTTTTTAATGATAGATAACTGCATCACCATTGTTAAAAAAAAGTTGGTAAATTTTATCTTACTTAAGTTATGTTTATTAAAAAAAAATTTTAGCAGCAGAAAGAAAAAAATAATTTTGGATAATAGTTTTCTTACCAAAAGAAAATTAAGATTAAATGTTTAAGACTTGTATGGAAATGTTGAATTCAACCGCGAAATTATATCGGCAATCACATTTGTCATACTTTTTCTTTCCTTAGTGAGAAAATGGAGGAAAAAGAGCACCCTTGGAAATGTGGGCAAATGGGAAATTGAAGTTGGGGAGCAGACAACTCCTGTTAATTTTGAGGCTGAAGGGCTGATAGAAAGTAATGTCAATGTATGTAAACTTATAAGTTGACATAGCAGTATTTGCCTTTTGAAGTTAAATTTGTATTCACAGCTGAACCATTGTTCATTATACTAAAGATCCACTTTAATTAGTAATAATTAATTAAGTAGTTGTAAACCTTTTTTTAATTTTAATATACTAGTGTTTACACTTACAACATGCATACTTTACAATGTCTAGAAAAAAAGACTCACTGCCAGTTATTATATATGTTCAGCGAAAAAAAATTGTTTTAGTATAACATTAACTTGCTACGAGTTTTTTTCCTTAGACAGGTAGAATATAGATGTCGCAAGGGTAAACTCAGTGTTACAATTGGTTTTCTTGTAATGTAATTTTAGTTTCCTTTCTTTTTCTTACAGCCAGTATTTATTCGCAAAGACACAAAAACTCATTTCATGTGGAGAATCAGAAATCTTCCATATCCTTTAGATAACTACAAAGTGACAGCCAAACCTGAAGAAAACCAGATCATTATCTCTACTGCTAATAAAAAGTAACTAATTATATTTATAAGTTAACTCTTTGTAATCCTGCACAGTGGATTCAGTAGTTTTCACCTATTGATTCACACCAGTTTCAATTTTGAAATAGTTTAGGAAGCTGACAAATAATAGTTATATCGTTAACAATGTTAAATAAAATTATTCTGGGAAATATTAAGTATACTCTCTGGCATCTTTATACCAAGAATGTCATGTTGCCTTTTAGATTACATAATAACTGAAAAACTAAGAAACAACACATTGTTTTCAGTTTATTTTTTATTGATTAATCAGTCTCGTTTAGATTTCTGTAAATATTATTTTTTCTTCACACTTGCTGTGTTAGATGTGTGATTGTCTAGATAATATATTTGTTTTTAATTTTAAAAATTTATGTTTGAACTATTAGGCCCAAGTGTTTTAATAGCAATTTTATCAATGTCAGATACTACAAGAAATTTGGGATTCCCGACTTGAGTCGTTGTGGACTTCCACTACAGCAAGAACCTATTGAAATTGCCCATGCTAATAACACTCTTTTAGTTTCTGTGAGTATTAATGAAGATCCTAGAAAAATGCTATGGAATTCACATCTTTCATTAAAATTTCACTCAAACCATAACTTTAATCAAATTAAACAGAAAATGTGTATGTTCATTGGAGTGCTAATGACATAACATTAATATTTCAATTAAAGTTTCTGTTATACTTTTCTGTAAAATTTCTTTCTATTTCATAGCTGGCATGTTTTTTTTTAATTGTAAAAATATTTCTTCTTTGTAGTACAAGAAACCCTCAGCCATTCTGGATATGGAAAAAAAACTGCAGCAAGAACTCAAGAAGCTCAAAGCAACTAAGGATGGGGATGTTGACTGCACACCAAGCTGATGTCTTCAATCTGTTTATCTGAATGTTGTAATTGTATTTTGGTTGAATCTTCAGAGAAATGAATTCTTGGTCCTATTGGTTAGAGATCTGAATGTTTAGCTTGTATTTTATTTTTATCAGTAAAAATGTGAATGGTACAATAGTTGAATAAATTTAAAGTTCGTTTTTTTGGGTGATTTTTACTTTCTTGTATATACGAAGTATAAAGTCTTATAATCGTGCAAAAAAAAAAAATCGAGATTTTTACAAATCTCGACGTTTTACACCTCACTGATACGGAAAAACATAATTTTGCAATCTTGTCCGTATGTCTGTGTGTCTGTCTGTGTGTGTGTGTCCATGTGTAAACACGATAACTTGAGTACCGTTACAGCTAGGTTGATGAAATTTCATATATAAGTATTTTATCAAAATCGTAGATCCGTATCAACTTTTGAGCGATTTCCGATAACCGGAAGTGGTATTTTTTTTTTTTTTGAATTTTTCAAAAGCCTATAACTTGAGTACTATTTCAGATAGATAAATGAAATTTGATATGTAAGTAAAAGATCTAATTCTCTACCTTCTGTCAAATTTTGAGTAATTTCCGTTGACCGGAAGTACTAATTTACGCTATTTCCGATTTCTCAAAAAACATGTAAATTTATAAAGTACTAATAATATTGCGCACTATTATGCACATCTTTATTTAGCGTTCACTTGGTGTGCAATTCTTTTTTCTACGAGATTATATTCTATTTTAAAAAGTTTGAGTATTTAAAATGGATTAAAAATCATGTCTAGAAGTCTATATCCCGAGTTGCCATCCCCCGTAGTGTTATATTAGAATATTCGAGAAAGTTTAGGGGAGATCACTCCCGGTTTATTAGTGTTAGGTTAATATACCTAACTGTATTAGATGTCGGTTCAGTGCCATTCTTATAATTTTGTTTTGGGGAAAACAGAGTAAAACTTTTTTTATGAGTGTTGTTACCAGTTTATCATTTGGTATATAACAACACTAGTAAGGCATGAATAGATGCCTTCGACAGATACTGAAACTGAGATGGCAGGACAAAGTGCCGAACTTGGAACTATGGAGGAAAGCTAGGCAGGAGCCTATAGGTGTGCAAATAAGAAGGAGGAAGTGGCGCTGGGTGGGTCACACACTGCGAAAGGCTCACACAAATGTTACACGCCAAGCGCTTGAGTGGAACCCCCAGGGAAAGCGGAAGAGAGGGCGCCCAAGACAGACCTGGAGGCGGAGTCTTCTTGAAGAACTGAAGCCAACAGGGATGTCTTGGGAGATGTCAAAATTAATAGCCGAGGATAGGAAGAAATGGAAGGAAATGGTGGAGGCCCTATGCTCCATAAGGAGCAAAGAGGTCAAAGTCAAGTAAGCCAAGTACAATATGTAAAACACAAAACATCATGAAAATATTAATATTGTGTTAAACAAGTTTATTTCTTAAAACCAACTACTTGCAGGTTGTAGTATAACATTGTAAGAAGCTGTTGCTACCAAGTACAACACTTCAAAAACTTAACTACCCCTGCATTTCAATTTGACCATAATTATTTAAAGTCTAATAAAAATTTAAAGACATTCAAAGTAAATGAATTTTTATAGACAAAGAAGGTCATTACCGGTATTATTAAACAATGAAAACAGTATTATTAAACAATGAGAAGTAGAAAGTAAAATGAACATGATAAACAATGGGATAATGATGACATTTAAAAAGTGCTACTGAGTTTAGAGGTGCCTCCAAATACAATTATTTAAGTTCTGATTTTTTTTAATAATATTCAACCTTGCAAAAAAAAAATACAACTAGTAATCCAAATTAGTCTGCCCAAAGTATCCATCCATTTATCTAATGTGATAATATGATAACATTTTTAGAAGATGCTAGAGTGAAATGTATTTCAATAAAACAAATATGATTGATCCGTAAATGCAAAAAGAAAAAACCAACAATAGCATACTAAACAAAGCTATGTGTATCCCTAATAATAGTTATAAAAATCCATACATCTTATCTAGAGAAAAAAATGCACATTTCAAAAGTTCGTAACAACATGCACAGATAATGTAACAGAGATTCATGTCAAATTTACATGTAGTGATACAGTAGTTCTTTCTTAATTGCAATGTCAAATCACTGATTTCGATTTTAATTTCTGCTTCCTAAAACATTTTAGATCAATAGGCTTTTTACTTTTCAGGAAATAAAATTAAACTGTTTTGGCTGCCTAAGATTGCACCCCAAACTTTAATACAACCAGCATTTAACTTATCAGGAAATAAAAAAAAAAGATGAGCTGCATTGAAAAGCCAGGATAAATAAGTGTAAAAGAACATAACAGCTTATATTTAAAGCAATAATTTTTAGAAAATACTAAAATAATACTTGAAATTATTTTATATAAGTTGTCTTTATTTAGTTAAAATGAATTAAAAATCTATGTTAAGAGTAAGGTTCTCATATTTTTTTGCCTCTGGTTATTAGAAATTTAAAAGTTGTTTGTATAGCTTATGAAAAAAATAGATATCAAGCACAACAGGATTTACTACACAACTGTTCTAATCACAAATAGTTTAATTTCCCTGAGAAGTGATATATCAATCACAAAAATTCGCCTTTGAAGGTTTTATAGTTTTAATCATTAAAGTTAAAGCATAGTACTCAACTTTATTGCATAGACAGCAATTTATGATAGTATTTGTGGTCCATGAAAGTCAGTCCTTGATAAAAAATCTTTTTGTTTTCTTTTTATTTCCAAGATACATAATGTTTCCCTATAATGATAAAATCTATTTACAGCTTGAGGTAACATGTTACATCTGTCAATTTTCTAATTTTTTTTTAATAAGAACTATCCAAAATGTCTATCTGTTGAATAGCATAAATTACAAATTACTTTATCCTAAGTTAGCCTGATTAACTAAAAATGAAGTCACAAACTGAAAACAGGAAAATAAAATAAGTAAAGTCAAAATTGTTAATTTTCAAAATTGCCAGGATGAAGAAAATAAGAGCTACATGCATTTTATTTGTCACTTACTAGATTCTAGTTAGAATGAGTTAAAAAACATGAAAAAACCATACAGCAGTTATATAAAAATCAAAGTGGTTAAAAAAATGCAAGCTGACAACTATAGTAGTACAAGTCCTATTAAAACGTAACTGTTTTACTACATTTTATTCTTTAAAAAGTTGTAAAAAAAAAAAATAATGACTATATAACAAAAACAAATCACTCTTTTTTTTCCTTTACAATATAATTATTTGATGTGCACTGATTTTTTTTTTGTCGGTGGACTTGACTGAATATTATCATAATGGCATTTTAAAAACACAATATAACAAAAGTTTTTACCAGCTATTAAAGATAAAAATTGTTGACTAACACCTAGGTAATACTATTACAGAACTGTGGTTTCCATAACAACAGAAAGTAATGTCTACAATTATTAAGGGCTATTTCCTAGAGGCTTATTTTAAAGTGAGAATGCATTAGATTTACACTTACGATGACTCATCACCGTTTCAATTACATGTACACAGCATTCACAAAATATCACACACTAAATTAATTAGTTTTACTAGTAGTCCCTAACACTGATTAAACAAATTTTAAAATATATATGGCAGTTTTCAAATAGATATAACATAATGTGCAAATGTAGTATTTATTATGGTCTTAAATACAACTGAAAAGATATGTTTTCTGCTTAGCATTTTCACAAATATAGTAGAAAATCAATTTAGAATACATGGGGTACTGCCCGGGACACAAATGTGTTCATATGTAATTTACCTTCCAGCAAAATATAAAACCATACGTCAAATTCAATAATTAAGTGTAGCTTTGCTTCATCTGTTATTAAACCATTTAAGATGCAGAAACCATTAACTTAAAAAAAAAAACCCGAAGTAACATCTGTCAAACAATTTTGTTTTTAACCAAACATGGCTTCTCTTAAATTTAAAAAAAAAAAAAAAAACATTTTCTATTTTTATTGCCCAACATAAACAATTTTAAACTAATAACTTAAATATTTTTTGCCTAAATATTTAAGGGTAGTTCTTAAATAGTTTAATATATCAAAGGAAATCTTGTGTAATAAAAAAATCCAAAAAATAAAACCACCTAGATTTCTTTCTTACATCTTCACATTATTTTTGTAAATACATCTACTCATGTTTAAAAATAAAACAAAACGCAGTTTGAGAAGAATCATAATTTATTTACGGTTATCAAAATAAATTCTAACAAACTCCTAATTAAAAAAAAACAAAGCTTCTTCACAAACTGTTGATTGAATAGAGAAGAAATACATACAATGATATGGAAAAGAATGCTTGCTATGAGCATTTATCAAATTGTATATACACAAGACACTGATAGGTGGAAATCACAAATTCAACCTGACAGCAATTTAAGTCAGAGTCAATAATGAGGAGAAAAAATTTAAAATTTAATTTCTAAATGAAAAATATAATAACAAATATAAATTTAAAAAAAAATCAACTAAACTTTTCATGTTTGGACAAATAAATAAATTAAACATAGATAACATTTTGTATTACTTTAACATTTTATGACAGTTATTTGTCATTATTTTGGTTCAGGTATTTTCTTTGTAATAGTGCTAGAATTTATTTAAATTCAGATTTTAGTCTTGGAGAAGTAAATGATAAGTGATATATTTATTCATGATAGAGACAGATATCTTTAAAATCAATCATCTCACTATGTATAATAATAATATAATAGTAGAGATTTCACAAAAAGCAGGATATTTAGGCTGACTAAATTTGTTTTAATAAATATATGTGTAAGAATGCATAACACACAAAGTCGTCAGAATAGACTTTTCAATACTGATTTATCCACATGCAAAAATCAAACAGTACTCGCAATTTTTAACCACTCTTAATATAAAAAATACTACAGTATTTTTTGTTTTTTAAGTTATTAAAACTGTCAATGGTCAACAGAATGTAACGCACATTATGTTAAAAATCTGCCAAAAAATGAATTCAGCACATATTTTGTACAAGACACATAACACATAGCATTTATTCTTTTGGGACATAAAGACTTGACATTGAAAATATACTAAATAATGAAAAATTTAAATGGTTCATTCATTTTTTTTAAAGAGGGAAAAATTAACTTCATCACTTAACCTCACTATACATGGCACAACTTGACATTTTCAGAAACACCAACATTTCACTAGCTCACCCAAATATTTATCTCCTCACTTCAGCTAAGTCTCTTTTTCACTGTAGAATAGGGATGTATTCTGGTAAATCTTGTCTGACACTCTATATCACAGAAATGCCTATATAAGAACACAAGAAATTTGTTAGTAAAAAATAAAGAATCCCATTGCATTAATTGAACTTACCAACCTTTTGGTTATGTTTTAAACTAAGCAAAAAAATAATTTTCCCATTTTAAGCTGCTCTAACCCCTGGTAGTATACTTCCTTTATTAGAAAAGCAAAGCTAGATTGATTGTACTGGATTAATATTAGGTACATTTTTGAGTAAGTTTTCTAAAAATATCCTAAATAAAAATATAATTATTATGCAATAAAAAGTAGGGCAATGATAACTTAATAATTGTAATAGTTTCAATTCAGAATTAAATGCATTTTTTAATATTAATAATCATAATTAAGTGTAAACATCATGAATGAGGTATATACTTTTCTCTTGTTTAATACAGTAATTCATTTTTTCTTTTAAAGACCAAGTTTTGACATAGCAGCTTGGTTTGGCTTATTCGCTAATATAGCATTCCACTGTAAATACTCTGGGACATAAAAAGTTAATTATGACTATTATTCGCTTTTGCACAATCATAAGATCAACTTTAAAAAAAAGCCAAATATTATTACAAATAAGCCAAAATAGACATAAACTCATTATTTTTAAAATGAAAGTAGAATGTAAACAATGACACCAATGTCCTACAGTGGGAACTGTGTAGACAGGAGGCTCAAGCTGAACAAGGTTCTGCTCACTATGTAGGTATATAATACAATTTAATTCTTGTGTTATCAGAAGGCAAGTTGTAGATAATGTATGAAGGTTGGTGCGGGGGGGGGGGGGGGGGGGGGGGGGGGCTATGTAAGGATTGGATGTAGGGGTGGGCATGGGAACCAAAAGTGATGGCATTAATAGCGGGGAGGCAGACAGATATTCAGGCAGGCTAAAGGTGGTGAGAGGTGGGTGGTATTCTATATATACTTCCCTTCAGACTTGTTTTAATATAATACTGTTTATGGAGCAGACTTATATAAATACCAAAGTATTTTTATAGCATTCTTAACGGTAAAAACTGCAGGTACTATTATACATGAAACTTGTATACATACATGTTCCCTGATTCAATGAAAGTCAATTCACAGAAATATCATCCTCATACACACGCTTCTTATTTGTATTATGACTGAAAAGAAATTCAGGCTGAGTATTTTAGAGGCAGTTGAGATATTGAAACAACAATTCATAATAGCAAAAAACAAAAATAACTAGTATCATATGTGAAAAAAGTCTGTTATTCGTTCATTTACCAATTGTATTTTACATTAATTTTAAACAAATATAAAATTAGTTTTTATAATAAAAAAAATAATCAGATTTTCAGATGTGAAACAGGAGATTTTACAGAAATGTGATCATGTCAGACATCCCACTCTACCTTTTAAACTCCATACTGTTTATGTGTTCCTGAACTCGACGCGCTTCTTGAGCATATTGCTCCAGCAAGGCTGGGTCAGTGGGAGGAAGAATGTTAGGAAGGTACCTCGAAAACAGATTTGGGTTTAGTTTGGAATATTCTGTTGATAAAAAGAGATACATTAAACAATTTCAGCCTATTTCATATAAAAAAATCTTATCAAATTGTATTTTTATATTGTACACAATTTTTTTTACTAAAACATACATTGGCATTGAAAGTCTTACATTATAAATATAGTTCATACCTTCATTTAAAGCATACAGGTTCTTCATTACACTTGCCATTGTCGGTGGAGAAATTGCAAATGGTACAGAGCTAGCTTCATCCAACAATTCTTTAAATAAAATGATAATGCTTTAAAATACTTAAACAGCTGTGCAGGAAAAAGCATTAAAATGTATATATATATTATGCATATGAACAGTAATTAAATAAGAAACTATTAAAGTGGTTTTACTTACTAATCAAGTTAGTAATATGAATATCAACCACTTTTGTGCAAAAAAGTTTGCGTAACTCTTCATTTAAATCAGTTTTCAATTTGTTCTCTACATAGAAACGATTCTATTGAATAAAAGAATTAAAAACCACATGAATTATAAAAAACAAAATCAAAGCACACATATTTTGGTATCCCAAATATAACAGACAACTAATTAAAATATTTTTTTTGTAGTTTCAAACTCCAAACAATTAAAAAACAAACAATGCTTCAAAATTAACATTAATAGATTGGCATACCATGTAGTTGAAAATGGGAACAATTCCTGAAAGAGCTTGGAGATACTGGTGCATTAAAAATGAAAATGATTCTATATAAGGAATGGTTTGACCCTCCTGAAAAACAAAAAAAATTATGTATTTTTTAAAAACTATTGAATAATCAAATAACATACAATTTGTATCTAAAGTAATATTTAAAAATAAATCTGTTAGGATAAAAATAAGTATGGAGTTTCAGTTTGAACTTTTAAATTTCACTTTGAAAACAAACAAAAAGCTATTTTAAATCATTTCTTGAAATAAAAAAAAAGACTATTTCAACAAAGTGTATAAAAGTTAAGATGTATTTAAAAAACAAACAAATAAAAAACAAGAATTTTCCCATATCTTCACACTTCTAAAATAGTTAACTAAAATGTAAAAAAAAAAGTAAATTAAATACACAAACAATTTATCATCATCAATTAATTATTTTTAAACAATCCATTAAAATGACACAAATTGTTAAAATTATTCTAAATGAGAACAGTGTTCTCTCAGTAATTTTAAAACTCAGGTACCACTGGAATCAAATGTTTGTAAACTTGAAAACCTGTGCTCCCTGTTATTTTTAAAAATGGGAATAAAGTAAAAACAACAACAACAGTTTTTAGTAATATATTAGGTAAGAGAACTATAATTTTTTTTAAATTGCTGGTAATATTTTTAAATGCTTTGAAGAATAAAATAATAGCCTGAATAATGTAAACTAAACCACAAATACATCTTTTAAAGTAAATTTTACTTTACCTTAAGTTAACTATGTAATTATGATTAGCATTCATTCATTATGTTTATGTTCAACTTTAATTAGGCAGGAACAAATGTAATGCTTGTACAGGTAAACCTTCAACTCACATGACTTTTCAATTCTTTATTCAGTTTTTCCATGTGAAGTGACAGATGAGTTAGCAGATCGTTGTATAGTCTTTCAGAAAACTGCTTGCATACACATTTATAAACACAGCTTAAGAGGAAAAAAAACAACTCGCTATTGAATCTTGAACAAAAAGATTACATTGCCTAACTGCAGTTTACAAGAAAATAATCATTGTTAAACAATTTCAAACAACCTACCAAATATTGTGAAGTTTATAAGAAAGAACCCATCAAAGAATTATATTAGTAGCAACTGAATAATAATTTAGTAAAGTTTTTAAAGAATTAAAAAAAAGCAACGTACCTATACATTTGTTCATATGAAATGGGTATGTAGGCACCAGGTATTATATTTAACAGCTGATCTATGGCTGTTTTAAGCTTTGGCCAGTATTGCATCTCATAATCTTCTTCAGTGAGTGTCATCATGACTAAATGAAATGGATTAAGTGAGAAATCAAAGTTCAGCATGGTTTGCATTGCTAGGATATGGCTGAAGTCCACCCACTACTGAGGTGTGCCTGACTAGATTTTGTAAAAGTAAGTGTGACTCTGCTAAATGCTGAGATCACAGAAAATAATGAGCTCTACTTCATAAAATCACCAATGACAGTAAGAGTTAGATAAAAAAAGATACTTTACTTTTTTATTTAAAAAAAATAACTAAGTTTTATGATAAAATGAGTCTTTCAGTTTACTAACAAATTTAATTAGACCAATATGAGAAAAAACCTTTATTGCAACAAGCTTTAAAATGCACTGGAATAAGAGCTGACCCGCGCCGTAAGCATACTCAGCTGTTTAGTTTTATTTTCTACTTTTCAGTAATTTATAATTCACTACCAATGCTGTGATTGAAAATATTTTGCTTTACAACACTATCAACAGCTGGTAAAGACGATTATCCTCACCCTCCCGCAAACTCAGTGAAAGCAGCTGTCTGTGACAACAGTTTACAGAAGACAATGAATAGTTATGGCAGAAATTGTTATTACCTCCCCTTTTTAAATTTAAATTATCTTCCCCTAATAGCCGACCCGGCTCTACGATTGTAAACATTTGGGGTGAACCACAGCTCACCTGACAGGTGGTGATGAGGGTGGTGGCTAAGCTGCGTGGTGTTTTCTATGGTCCTCATGAAGAGAATTATATATTTAGATTTACTTTCTTTCATAAAATCTTTTTTGCTAAAATATGAAAAAGTTCTCACGAACGAACATAGCTTTTATGAAAGGCAGCAAATTAGTTTTATTTTCATTTCATTTAAAAGCTTGTTGCTATTACTATATTACTTGATATAAAGGTTTTTGATATTTGTTTTATTTTTAAGTTTTTAGTGACTCCCAAGTTATGAAGAAGACAACTAGAAATATTTGCTTTAAAACACTCAGTAGCTCGCTGAATCTGAAAGAGGATTATCTGCCCAGTGAAAGCAGCCATCAGGGACCATATTTTATAGCTGACAGCAAGCTCTTTATCTTGTTACCTCCCCTTAGTTTCAAATTGTTTATAACAAAAAACAAATATTAATAAACAGACATTGCGAACTAAATAAAAGCTTGTAAAAATGACTACAAATGCATTTGAGAAACAATATAATGGTCCAATTTTTAAAAGAATAAACCTGGTCAAAAGATTTCAATTCTAGAATGAGATAGTTTAGAGGATGACTCCATTATGGTTTATAATCTTTAATACTGTATCCACATCAGGACTACTCACTTGTAACATCAGCACACTGTTAGTTTGTGTAATCTAGAATAAGTATGAGCCAACTGTAAAATCCTAAAATTTTAAACTAAACATGGTGGATCCACACTATGTGTCTATAGAATCATTTTTCTTTATTATGACATAAACATTATAAAATGACAAACTATATAGCCTATAGCATATAGTCACTAGTTTGATCTAAGCTAATTTCTGTGAAAATTATAAATGTTTATGTTTTACAATTTTGGTTACTAAGACACAGTTTCAGCGATGGCATGTTGACCTATATTAACCACCAATGTATCACTACCGTGTCTTAGTAATAAACTTAATCTTAGTAATAAAATTTGGTACCAGAGATTGTTGATAAATGAAGAGCTGAGCATGTAAACATATAAGCTTGCAGACATACATACTGACTTTAAAATGTTGTTAGACTTTGGATTTTTTAGATCTAGAATCTAGCTCTATGCTGAAATAATTTGAATTCATACTAAGCATAGAAAAACAAAACTATAAGTCTATAATAGGGATAGGCCTATGATAAGTTATTAAAATATAGGCTAATTAACAATAGAAAAGGCTGCCTTTTTAATTTTAAATGTTATGAAACAATGACTTTAAATTTAAAACATATTGATCTACATCAACTGAACAAAATGTGTTAAAATAGCCTAACTATAATATTTAAGACTAGGCTAACCTTTAGGCCACTTTAGGGCCTATAGACTATACAGTAGGCTTTTTGATGAGAATTACAGAATGATTTTTTTATTAAAAATGTATCAATAATAGCTAGAACACTAGTAAACTAAGCTAATTTAGCATATTTTAACTTTCTGTGCAAAGTCATTATTACTGAAAAAAATTCCAAAGTCAGGTCAGCCTGTGGCACCCTCCACTGAACGTGACAGAAGGAAAAAAAAAACTTCACCCGTGACCTTCATTAAAACAGAATTTGCTTTTTTATTTTTTTTATTTTTGGTAAACATGTGCTTAATCTTACCCAATAAGTGATAAAAATTTGAAAATTAATTTTAATTACAGTTGTAAAGTAAGATAAACAGCTTAATAAACACATGCTTTCTTGAGGGGGTGTGGCCCGGGTGTGGCACATCGCAATTATAACTTTATATTTCTGTGTTTTATGACTATATTTGTTCACAATCAGCATGCTATGTTTTTAAAATTGATAAAGGGTAAGTATACCAAGTTACAAAATCTGCAATCTAACTAATAATTCATACTTTCAATTTAAAAAATAATAAAAACAATCATCAACGAAGAAAGCGTAAACATTCTATTTTTAGGTGTGACATAAAAAACAGTCATAAATCTAGCCAAATGATTGGATTCTTACGCGGCACACATTTTCCCGCGCCTCGTTTTCACCAAACAAGAATATAATAAAATGGCATTATTACTTACAGCATGAAAAACATTGTTGTCAGCCTAATTATATTAAACAATTCTATTTTTATTTGATAGTAAAGATGTTATAAAAATTGGGTCTAATAAAAAAGTTATTGGATAACGCACCTGCTTTAGTTTATTCGACTTGAAACGCAAGCTAAGTAAGCGTGACTTTCTCTCGACGGCCTCGTTAAATACAAATAAAGAAATTAGGTCAAAAGTACATCTGGGAATTCTTAAATAACAGACTGAAATAGAAACGGATAGTTCCGATGTCTAAAATTAACGATGGCCTCGTTATTATTAGTTTTATCCCTCTACCGTTTAGTGAAAGCGAAACTGGTCGCCATTTTGAGTAAGCGCATGAGCCGTGAGATGCCACAAAAATGACAAACCCGGAAGCGTTGAACCGAACGGCCTACTATACAGTATACAATACTATTAATTTTTAATCTTTAGGCCTAAACAAAATTTCTAGTAGGCCTATTAGGATAGTTATTAGTAATTTAGTGGTCTAGAGTGTCTACTTAAGTACTTAAGTTAGTAATCTAAATTTTTAGTTGTGTTAGTAGTACTAATTCTTAGTTGAACAAATTAGATCAAGTAAGTAATTTTAGTAATACTTGGTCAGTCAGTGGTTGTACATTTCTAGTTTGCTACAATTAATTTCAAATTAAAATATACCCATGCTCCCTGGGCGTAGTAATGGTGTAAAATGAGGTTTGTTCACATTAGCATCATCATAATCAGCCGCAGGATGACCATGTATACTGGAACAATCTGATCTTGTAACAGAAATATTAGTAGCACTAGATAATGTCATACATTCAGTGTTATTTGTTGTCAACTGTTGCGGCCCTTGGTTCTGGGTTCCATCTATTCCAGGATCGAAAGAAGATTCCATAGGCTCGTCCATCTTTATATAAATTTATCCTTTGCTTTTATTGACGTATTACAGTTGTTGATAAAGCATTTTTGTAGATCCTAAATCATAAAAAATTTGAACAGTAAAAAATAAATTGCCAACAGTTCGACTTCGTCAAATTGTCAACTTCTTACTAAAGGGAACGTACTGTTAATGTAATAGACTGGTTTCCGGTTGCGACAAGAACGGTAACTTTGATTGCTAATGTCACAAATGTGCCTCAAACACAAAACCACTCACAAAAACAAAATGCAACAGAATTAGAATAGCCTGCTACTACTAGATCTATGAATTTCACTTAGAATCTAGAAGCTAAAAGACTTGGTCTTAACTTTAATAGTCTAAGCTCGCATGTTACGTAACGTAAGTGTTACTTGAAGTTGTTACAACTTGTACTTTTTTTTTTTACTGAAGTTACTGTCCTTGCTGTGTTACTAGGAATGTTGGGATATTTTTCCTAATTATCATAGAATGATAAAATGTACACAGATTAATCCTATAATATACCCCATTGATAAAAATAGCAAATTTATCATTCTAGGCCTAATAGTTTTTTTTATATGAATTTTTAAAGTTATGTATTAAACTTGTTATATATCACTGTAACATCGGATTTAATTGTGTGATTGGCTTTAGGCTTGCATACCACTGCTGCTATTTGAGATAAAATTATAAAACTTTTCATATTAGTGCTAGAGAGTGTGGGCAATAGAAATATGAAAGTAAAATCAAAATTTGATGAAGGATAATTAGAACTAATCAGGTCAAATTAAAGTGAGGGGTGCTGTTCTATATAGGTCAATATGCAGACTGAAAGTCTATGTTTTTTTTTTTAAATATTAAAATTGAAACTTTGCTAGAGGGTGGGGGTAATAGAAATATAGAAAAAAAATTAGATTAAGTATGACCGCATATAATTAAAAAGTCCTATGAAAGGGTGTTGCACCCTTTTATAGTAATTATAGTGACTGCAACAGACGTATGTCCAGAATGCTACTATAACAGATAGGATAAATTTGGTGATTGATACTGAAGCATGTAATAAGAAGAATGCTGAAAAATAAAACTAGGGATGGTGTGGTAAAGCACTCAACTACTAACATGCAAGTCTTAAGCTCAGATATCAGACAAGTCTGTCTGTGCAGCGCGCAGCATCCACCTAGCTCAGATGAGTACCTGACACAAGGGAAAGTAAAGATAGCTTGGCAGAGAGCTAACCACACCATCACCTTATGTTCAGTGGTCAAGAAACAGATAAACTCTACTTCAGCTGCTCTATGGATGATGGATTGACAGGTCCAAAAGGGAAACTACTTTAATATACTAGGGTCTTTATCAGGCCCTATTGATATTATTATTTTGGTACAACTAATCAATAGAAAAACCTTAAATTCTTGTAAAAGTTTATTAAATGTTAAGTAAGTTGTACCACATCAGAAGTTACAGCTTCCCTGTCTATCTGCTTATATGAATATATTGGCAATATGCTGTGATTTAAATACGTAATGTTTGTTGTATTTGTTTTTTGTTACTTATTATTAAATGTAAAAATTGTATCCTAAATTATTATGAATAATAATTATCATGCCTTTTTCATGTCATTCTAAATTCACTGCCTTATTAATTAATAGTATCCCCTCCCCCCCCCCCCCCCCCACATGTCAATTGCTGCGCCTTTTGTTTATTATTTAGATCTACTATTTACTAATGTCATAGGCATAATTATCACAAATAATTAATCAAGTTTATCACCCAGCTTCTTTACTTATCATAACCAATAATAGGCCCAGACTTACTTTATCAATCGATACATATTACATATAGCATTAGTTATACTAAGAAATAGGCCTATAACTTATTTATTATTTATAAATATAGCCTAGTTCTAGTATAAAGTATAATTTAGTATTAACTTAATTAAGTATAAGCCTTAAATCTAAGTACTAAGTACTTCATACTATGTGTGAAATGCTTGACACTAGTTAATGTAAGCCTAAGCTTCTTGCCTGTCGTTTTTAATAGATAACTTGATCAATGTATTTTATCTAGTTTTAACAGTGCCAGCCACAATTTAAATTCTTTCCAACTTCGAAAACTACGTCATTGGCATTAGTGCGCGTATTTTATCGATAATAGGTAATGCGGTGCTAAACGGACGCCATGGCGTTGTCAAGGCCGAAGCGCTAGCTCGGGGATTTGACATGTATGATAACTCGTAAACAGAAGTAGTAAGTGCCATAAAACCGTTATTATAATAATATTTGTTTATTTAATGGACACTTACAACTAATGGCAAGACACTTATAATGTGTTTAATACGTAAACTTATTTAAAATGTGACAGCACCGTACGGGACATGTTCGCGAGATAAACTCATTAGAATCGTGCGATCGATTTCGGCTTTAAGATTGTCATAATGGCGGTAATTTTCTAATTGAAACATATAATACGACTACACTAGAATATCTATATCGAATATTTCTAAAAACTCGATTCCAACAGTGAGATTCGGCATTCTTCGGAAAAGGGCGAGTTTTTATAAAGTCTGCATCAAAAAGTCCGGATGTTGAATACCGAATCGAAACAGCGGAAGTCGGAATGCCTACTGTGTTACCTGTAACGTTACTAACTTACTAGATCTACTTCTTTACTATAGTTGACTAAGGACAAGGTCTAAGAATAAGAGTTGTATGTAACACTGACACTGAACTAAGAGTAGTGTAAAGTTAAGTTTTAAGTCACAGCAAAGTCTGGAGTCATTAAATTAAACTGTAAAGTTTAAGAAATTAAGAGTTAAGTAAGACAGATCTAGAATCTAGATTAGTAATTTAGTTCTGGAATCACTTCACTGAGTTACTGAGAAAAGTCTTAATAAAATCAGTAATTTGAGTAATAACATGTTTAATATTTAGTCTGTTTAAAATATTTTAATACTTTTTAATTCAATACAGGATATCTGCAGAAGTTTACATTGGCAATAGTGCAGTTTTTCACAAGCACAAGCACACTGAAGTAACAGTCATTAAGCAATTTAATTATTAAAGGCAGAGCAAGTTGTGTTGTAAGTTTTTGTTTATTCTTTATTAATTAATAGTTGTCAATGATGCATGAGCCTACTTCTTGATTAGCCTATGAAATAGAAAAAAATTACTGCAAATTATATAAATTTAAACCTAGTTTTATTACAAATAACTTATTTTTGAGTTTCAGATTTCTACTTTTGGTGCTACCATGTTTCACTGCAAGAATGGATATTTAATATCTGTACGTTGGTCAAGCTCAATCAAATCAATAATGAATGAAGATCTGCCACGCATCACATGTCCCCAAAAATTGCAAAAAGAATACCAGAAATATCAAGAGAAACAGTTTAAACAACAACTTTTGTCCAAGAAGCAGTCTCGCAACAGAGGACCAATGGTGATTTCTTGTAAGCGTAGGAATTATAATTATCATAAAGGAGATTCTTTTTCTGAATATGATGTTCAGAAATTGGTAAGTTTTGGGTGGAAAAATAAAAAAAGAGTTGGAGACAGTTTTAGCATAGTACCCTTTTCTGATAATCCTTCCCTTGATATAGGAACTGATATCTCCTTCTCCGAGCTTGGAATAAATGAAAAATTGTGTGCAGGGCTTCAGGAAATGGGCATTGTAAAACCTACTTCTATTCAGAAAATGGCCATACCCACACTGCTAACAGGCAACAGTGCATTATGTACTGCAGAAACAGGCTCTGGAAAGACACTGGCATACCTTCTACCAACAGTTGAATGGATTCTTAAGCACAGAAATTCTATGAATATGAAAGCTAATTCTAATTCTCCAACCTCTGTAGTACTGACTCCAAATCGTGAACTCACTGAACAGGTGATGTCTGTTGCAGAATCTCTCACTCCATATTCCAACTTTTTTCCTTACAGCTGTGTAGGGGGAGATAGATTGTTGAAGAGAGATGTGTCTATGCCTTTTGACATGCTCATTACAACACCTGGGGCACTAATTAAACATTTAAGAACTAAGCGTGTCAACGGATACAATTTAAGACATTTTGTTATTGATGAATCTGACACCTTGTTAGATGATTCATTTATCTCTGACCTGCACACCATATTTCAAATGCTTAAAGTCCAACCAGGCAATGAAATACAAGATGATGTCCAACTTTTACAAGGCACCCAAATCATTCTTACGAGTGCCACAATGCCTGTAAGCGTGAATAAAGCCCTGGAATTCCTTCCTGTTGATAATATGGCAAAAATAACAACTCAAGGTCTGCATCATCTTCAACCTCATGTTATGCAAAAGTTTTTGCGAATTAATTCACAAAAAAAACCTGAAAAGTTGGTAGAACTGGTAAAACAAAGCCTTGAACTAAATGAACCCACCTTGGTGTTTGCCAACGATAACAAAACCAGTTTTTATTTGTATAAACTTTTAAGTGACAATGGCATAACTTGTTTACGGTTAAACAGTGATTTAAACAATGACCAGAGAAAAGGAGTTTTTCAAAAGTTTAAATCTGGTTTTTGCGATGTCCTTGTTGCAACAGACATAGCATCCAGGGGACTGGACACAACCAATGTTCAGCATGTTATCAACTACAACTTCCCGACCTTTATTTCTGACTACATCCATCGTGTGGGAAGGGTTGGTCGGGTAGGAGTGAAACAAACTGGACATGTCACATCCTTTGTCACTGAGAAATGGGATGTGGAGCTGGTTTGGAAAATTGAAACAGCTGCCAGAAAAAAGGGCAAGTTAGCAGGCGTGAATGCAAATATAAAAGAAAAACTAGATAAAGAATCTTTATCTGAAAATGATCAGTTTGATGCTGTTTTTGTAGAAGATAAGAAATTGTTTAATTAAAATTTTAAACAATATATGCATTTTCTTACTTATTTAAAAAAATATTTTTACGTTCAGTGCTGTTTTTAATTTAATTAATTTTAATATAATTAATGTTGCCTTATACAATGAATACAGTTTAAATTATTAACAGTTATATTTTTTATTAATCCAGCAAGTCTCAGCACTGATTTACAAATTTGATAATTCAAAGCAGCTAAGGGCAATCTAACCAAACTGGCAATTTCATGATCAATTTAATTAAAAGTTACTGCATTTTAAATAATTCCAAAAGTGGAAAAACTGTTCATTGATTTCATTTGATGTTTATTATTTTTACAGGTACTATTTTATGTGATGCATTTTTGAGACAATACATGAAAAAAAATAAAGAGTGCAATAATAAAAATTAAATACACAAAAATTATCAAAAGCATAGCACCTGAGAATGAATTGAAACAAACTGGAAATGACATAGCTCTGACATCACAATACAGTTTTGCAATCCAATTGTATATCATTTTGCTTGCAATTTTCATAGATTGGTATCAAATGATTGCTAATCTAAAGAAATATTTTCCATCGCCCCCACCCAATTAGTTTGCTTCTTGTTTATTAAAAAACCACTCACAAAGTCTTAAGCAAAATAAAATAAATAAATAATTTTTTACATTTTTTATAATAATAATATGAAGTATTTTTTGTTTGTTTCTATTAAATACACACAATCTCATAATCACAATCTATTTATGCCCCTGTTAGAAATGGTTTGCACTACATACTACATCACGTTCTTGATAAGCTAATTTCCTTTTTGCATACTACCCACAACTAATTCTTCTGATTAAGAAAAAGAATACAACAGCTAAGAGCTTTTTATTCGTTGATAATTCAAGCACAATCAAATATTCGTCATATCAGTTTAACTGAGGCTTAAAACTTAAAGATGAATCTTCTACTTCTCACTTCTCTCAGACCAATATTTGTGACATCTAAAGCACCAAATTCGGTTTCAATAGAATCAAAGCATTTAAGTGAAACTAAATAGAATCTCTTTGTTGTGGAGTTAATTAACAAAAAGAAAACAATTTTTATATAGAATCATTATTTCTTTTTAGCTTAATCATAGACAATAATAAAAATAAACAATATAAAATACTTCCAGATATTGAATGAGTGTAAAGTCAGTAAGAATCCAGAATACAGCGTGTGATTCTGTAGTAGTGCTACAATAAGGTAGCAATTGGTCCCTGGATTATTTAAGAAATACCGCATTTGTTTTTACTAACCAGAAAATGATTTACTATTACATGAGCTTTCTATTCTTTTAAGAACACAATTTGTTGTAATTTTAGAAATAAGTAAAGTTTACAAGTTAATTTGCCATAACAGATGTTTTCTCTAATCTTAACCTCATCTGCAAGGATGCTTTAATAACCACCACATTAAGACATTTGTACTTATTCACAACCTTTCTGAAAAGTGTACCGATTGCTTTTTTCACACATGCAAAAGGTTAAGATCTTATTATGGCATTTATTTTTTGCAACAAAATGTTAAACATTTTAATGTGTAAAATAATTTTGGCAGATCATATGCTTCACAAAACAATAACAATATATGAAAAAATGAGAAGTGGATTTTATAAAATTAAAATATTAAAGAAATTAAGTTAAGAGAATGTTTAAAAGTCAGATCAGTTAAAATTTTATATAAATGTGTTGCCTAACAGCTGTTTATAAAGCCAAATAATGTACAAGTATTTATGCTTGATGAACACATTTTCTTTTTTCCGCTTGATCAAACAAGTCATTAACTAAAATAAAACAGAGACCAATAGTTTATTTGTACATGCTTTAAATCAATTTAGTGAGAGCTTATTGAAACTGATGTTTGATTTCACTAAAAAATATTATAATTCAAAACTATTAGTTGCATGTTTTTAAATGTTAAATAAATAGCACTAGATAGATTTTTTTCTTATGATTTTATAAATGTGATTCAAAATGATTCAGTAAACCAAACAAATGAAATAAATTATAAGTACTAATGTACATCTTTGTTTCAATGCATATGTCTTATTTACACACTGATATTGTACAAAATTATTTACATATTAACTGTCATTTACATTAATTCATTAAAATAATTTGTTTACAAAAATTACAGATATACAAGTGTAACAAAAAAAATTATAAAGTTACATATATTTGCCAAACATGAACACAAAAAATAGTAAGGAGCAGACTAATACACTTTGTATGAGCTTATTTCTCATTTATACTGATCACTATATTTGCAAATAATTATCTGATGGTCTGAGTTAAAATAAAGCACACAAAGCTTGTAAATATAATAGAAAATGACATTAGCTCAATACTTCAAGAAGCATCTTGGAATAACAGATTTTTAGGCTGCAGATTTAAAACCCAATTTTAGTGACATTTTAGATATTTACCAGCAATATTCGGAATTTCTTCACCTAAGTCTTTATAAAGGCATCCCCCACCTTTTGTGTCAGTATTTAAATAAAGACAAAAAAATATCAGAATGTGATGGTGGAAGACATTAGCAGTTTATATTGGCTAAGTTAGTAATTAAAAAGACAGCATAGCAGCAGCTTGTATAATAATAAGGTAATCATAGATCTGTGTATATATTATTGCATTTTCAAAGACAAACTTTTTAGTTCTGCATTAAAAATATCAATAGCCTTACTGACTTGCTTTGTACAGTTACACTAATATAAGTAGGCCAGATAAAAATGTTTTAAAATATGCCTAGTAACATAATTTAGTTAAGTGGCTTGATTGAAACAAAGTTAAATATGAAATTAAGCAGATGACATCATTATGCAGCTCTGTACCCGGAGAGTAGTTACATATTTAAAAAATAAAGACAGCTGTAATACACCCAAGTTTTCTATTACTAAGATTTTTCAATAATTCTTCTATTAGTTATACTTTAGTTTTCATTGATCAATCTCTAAAGATGTGTTAAAATTCTCTACAAATTTTATATATTTAATTACAGTTTTTAATACATATTACTATAGGAAAATCTAAGTTAATAACTGTGTTGTTGTCAATTAAAATTTAATCCTCATAAATTTTGTTCACTAGTTTTTGTTTAAACATTAGCGAAACAGTTTTTTTTAATAGAAGTAAAATATTGTACTTGGTAACAGCTAGGCGTTAAGATAAAACAATAAGCTTCAACAATCACATCTAACAAGGTATCACATATTTAACATATATTTTTATAAGTTATTCTACTCCTCTGGCACCAAGTTTTCATTTTAAATCCAATATGATTTTAACAAAAAAAAAATATATATTGTTCACTAACTAACACTGGATTTTTTTTTATACTGAACAAAAATATCAATTGTTGTATAATTAGATTAACATTAATCCCACTGTACAAACTGTCATGTCACATTGTAAGCATATACATAAAACTAACACAATAATAATAATAAAGATTGCACTGTGATCCCGGCCCACCCTCACCCTCAGGTGTTCAGTAATTGTCATTGTCCATCTTGCTTCAATTTTTTGATTGTGTTCTTTAGTGCCTGTCTCTTGTTGCAGAACCAGACACGGATAACTTCTCTATCATAGTTCAACCTCTCAGACAATTCTGTCATTTCTGTACCTAAAAGTGTCAACAAAGTGATAGAACACATTTAATGATGAAATATAAAAATTTCTAGCAGGTTATATTGTAGCTATGGTTATTACTAGAACTGTTACCCAAACCCTCACAGTGATATTGGTACAAATAAAAACCTCATCCTTACTATTGCCATTTAAAATTTACAATCAATTTGATTTCTTGCTTTACTCTAAAGTAAAAAATTATGCTGTGGTTAAACATTTACTGACAATCTAAAATTTCTCTTAAAACATTCCACACACTTACCTGTAGGATGTGTATTTCTTTCAAAATATTGATTAAGTAGTTCAAGAGCTTGGGGTGTAAAGGAAGTCCTTCTTTTCCGTTTTTTACTAGGCTCACTACCAATAAAGTCTGTGAGGTTCTGCACTCCATTTTTATACCTTTCCTCTGCCTCAGCCATCCACCTTTCTAATACAGGTTTAATTTTCTGGGCACTTTTTGGTGTAATGTCCAGTTTTTCAAACCTGCAGAGGTTTCAAGTTCCAAATTAGATAAATAATTTTTAAAAACAGAAAACAATCCCACTTAAAATAGTTTGTTTAGAGAAATCATAAATGTATGCAGGATAGTAGGCAAATAGTAAGTAAATATTTCTACAATTATTCTTAAGAAAACATCTGGTTTGATACTAGGCAGATAAAAAGAAGACAAATTGGCCTTATTAAAACAGCTATCCCAGCAAACTCATTCTACAACTCAAGTACAGAAAATGAATCACTTGAAACATCAAGGGCAAAGCTATAATTTCTAAATCTATTTTAAAATAACATTTCATTAAAAGACAAAAAAACATATTGGTAAATGGAGTTTATAAAAAAAAAGAGTAAAAAAAAATTAGACATAGGGTAGCAAGCCAGGGTAAAGTACAAACATATGTGAAGATTGTGTTTTCTTCAAGTGATGACAGGGAGCAAAGACCACACAAAGAGATGGGAGCAAGAGATGAAGATGTAACTAGCCTGCATATTGCTGACTGACTGTACGCAGGTCCTTCTGTCGCACTGAGGGCTTGTCCTACTTGAGTTTGTGTTAATCCCAGAGATAAGCGTCTAATTTTAAAATGTCTTGCAAATTCTTTGATTTCATCTAGATTTATGCCATCCACCGTTGTGCTCTCTGTTGAGTTTCCTACAGTGTCTGCAGCAAAAAATTAGCACAAGATTAAAAAAATGTGTCCCTATGGCCAAGCCCTGTGATCAATTTTTATTTCTTAAGTGAGTATTGTGTCAAGCAGAGGCGTAGCGACCCTTCCCGGGGACAAACTTTCAATTTGGCGCCCCCCTCTGAGGCAAATTTTCAATTTGCATCCCCCCTCAAACTATTTATAATTTGTTTTTCCAACCCATTTTGGCCCCCTAAGGTAGGCGCCCGGGGACATATCTACCCATCCCCCCCCCCCACCCCCCGCTACGCCTCTGGTGTCAATCAACAACTATGACAAGTTGTTTGCTTACAGCTGGTGTTAAAATCTAAGTTGGAGGTGCTCAGCTCTCAACTATGTTGCTAAAGGTGTTGCTAGAACTAAAAATTTAAAAGTTCAACTAATATAACTGTATGAGCCAACCCACAGCGTATCATACGCCGCTATTTTAAGTTGTTTTGTTTTTTACTTTTCAGTAATTCATAATTTGTGAATTCGACAGTACCAACGCTGCCACTGGCTTTAAAACACTATCAGTAGCTCGTTAAGGACGATAACCCACCCTCCTTTCCCCAACCCCTACCCCCCCCCCGTGAAAGTAAACTCCTCTTAGTTACCTCCCCTAAGTTTAAAATCGTTACAAACTAAATTATCTGCTCCTAATAGTCGTCACTATACCCGGCTCTATGATTGTAAACATTTAGCGTGAACCACAGCTCACCAGACCATGTAGGGGTAGGGGTGGTAGGGAGCGCGCTTACAGCTTGGTGTTTTCTATCGTCTCCAAGAAGAGAATTATATATATAGATAATAGAATAAAACTGTATAATAGGGAGCAATTAAAAAAATTTTCCAACCAAATTAAATTTTTATAAAACTTTCGTTTTAGTTTTACTTAGAACTAACTGTGCGATACTTTTATATTTCAATATCTATGGGCAAGTGAATACACTTACGAGGTAAAAGTTGTGAAACGTTTGGTGGAAGACCATTGGTAGAGGAAGTTATATGTGCCTGCTGCGCCAACTTGGAGTTGACACTGGCTACCACAGCCTGTGAGAGTGTGTGCTGTAGGACCTGCTGGGCTGTAGCAGCAGCAGCTTGGTTGATTGCATGTGTAGCAAGGTTAGCTGCACTTGATGAAGATGACTGGCTGCTGGTTATGGGTAAAGATGCAAGCATCTACAGACACAAGAGGTTTCAGTTTAAACATTTTTTTAAAGTGTACCAATAGATAAAGTATCATAAAGTAGATTTGATTATAAACAATGCATTAAACATCTTTTTAAAATAAATAACCCAAGAAAATAAATTCCAGGCCATATCAAAATATGCAATGATATTTACAAAATTTTAAAGTAAAATACCCTTTCTTGAAAAAGAAGAACTAAATTAGTCTATTCTGGGTCCATAATACAAAAAGCAGTCAAGTGACAAATACAATGCCTAGATGTCTTAACCATTCAGCAACATGGTGTCATGCAGAAATACATTTCTGATACACCATTTACAGGGTCTCTCTGGCAAAATCAATATTTGAGTAAACACATAAAAGGGCAAACGATACATGCCTGGGGACTCACTGCTAAGAGTTGCCCTCCAGATGCTGTCAGCAGATGGGGCAGTGATGTAATATGATTGCCTAAAGTCTGACCAGATGAGGATATGCTATGAGAATCACGACTAGACTGTAAGCTGGAAACTGTAAAGGCAAATTATGACCAGTCAATTGAGCACTGAGAAGTACACACAATCTGTCAATGCTATGACGGAAAACATCAATTTCACTTTTTTTTTTAATTAATGCACTTTGTTTTTAAAGGATTACAATGCATCAATGTAAATTCTTTGAAGTCTTAAAACAGTGATCAGGATTAAAATGTGAACTCACTTAATGGCTGTGTGAGGGCTTGTAAGTTGGAGAGGTTGGTTGCTAAAAACTGACCACCATTGTTGGTGGTGATGAGCTGTATTTGCTGGTTACCACCTGTTGCTAATGATACTGGAATACTGATGAACTGTTGAGCTCCATTGCCTGTACACATAACAAAATATGGAGACTGAATTTTTATTTTTTAAATTTCATACAAGCAAAGTGTCTGAATAATACTGGTACTATAGGTGTCTACAATAATTAAAAATCTGCATGCAATATATGTTTTTTTTTTAAAAAAAAAACCCAGATAATGTTAACAATATCACAATTCACAATATCACAAACTCAAAATGTCCATTACAACTGTAAAAATCCTAAAATTAGGGGGTAACTCACACCATTTTTAAAAGTACTTGATACATTGGATTCACTGAAACTGTAAATGTCCTTAAATTGGTAGGTTGGTCATCTGGCTTTTTAAATATGTGTTACATTGGCTTCAACTGTAAGTGTCCTTAAATTGTGAGGTCACTTACACTGATTTTAAAAATACTTATGTTTTGCTCAATACTACGACCATATTTATTTACTCTTAAAGGTAGGTGTTAATGAATGCGATAAAGAAAAAGGATGCATAGTTTTCTACAATTTGTGATGTAAAAATAACAATAGTGTGCACTACCCACCAGTTGAAACAGGAATAAGTATCTGTTGTACAGGGACTGAGTGTCCACCTGATTGACCCGTAGATGCTGATGCTGATGGTTGACTGGCAAGGAAAAACTGAGGTGCCACCTGTGGCTGCCCCAGCAGGTGTGTTTGACTAGACAGGGAGGACAGAGCACCTGTGTTAAAGAAGACAGTTACATCAATAAGTAACTTAAACATGTCTAAGTTCAAAAGATCTTAAGTTAAATGTATTCATTTTGAAAAAAAAATAATTCTGTTTTCTATTTGAGTTTCAGATTTTAAAATAAAATTCATCAACTAGTAGTCACAGCTGATGATTTTTAAAAAAATGATTACAAAAGGCCTATAGGTAGTCTGTGAAAACAATTCTCAATCTCTCTATTTTGTTTATCAAATTCATGTTTGTAGCAATGCTCTGGCCAATACTCGCACTGACAATGCTTAAACCCGGAGTTAAAGGGATCTAATTAAACTATGTTTAATGATTCAAACAGCTCATTTGGTCTTAATGGTAAAGTGAATGTTTAAACATGCCAACAGCGTAGTTTGCCGTACTTGTTATATCTGTTTTGCTTGCTTCTGTTGCAGAAGGTGTTGTAGCTGTGTCACCCACTGAGGGCACTGACATAAACAGCTGCTCTGCCAGTGACATGGCATTGCTGGCCATTGAGACATGAGGTAATGACACTGATGGCATTGTGAACACAGATGAGACAGGGGCCAGTGGCGACTGTGTGCTTGTTGCTGATAGCATAACATCCTGGAACATACAACAAATGGCATGTGTCAATCATAAGTGAAAGCAGGAAACAAAGAGATTGTCTAGGTCAGGGGTCGGCAACCTGCGGCTCGCGAGCCGCATGCGGCTCTTTTGATATCAAGATGCGGCTCTCCAGCTCCTTGAACAATTACTAATAATCTTAATAAAAAAATAAATATTTGAAATTAAAAAAATGTTAGTGGCTCTTTAAAACCAGGGAAATTTTGAAAATTGTAAGTTTTGGCTCTTCCACCTCAAAAGGTTGCCGACCCCTGGTCTAGGTGTGTGATCACACATAAAATTATATGTTAAGTTGTATAGGTATGTAGCTAAGTGATACAAAAGAGCAGTGCAGTGACTGTCTAAGTATGTGATCACACATAAAACTGAAATGTTCAGTATAAGGTCTATGATGTATAACTGATGAAATTATGTAGATTCTGTTTGTCCAGTTAGAGTAAAATTTGCTGTCCAGTATTTGTCAGTTTCCAAAAAATATTTTAATTAATGTAATATTTTAAAATGTGGTTAGGATCAGAATGAAACTTAATTAAATAATAAAAGACTTTCAAACTTAAGCTTATTTAGAAAAGTTTTAAGTCAGAAACAATGTCATGTGTATATTTAAATAATTTATACATTTAAATTTATTATAATATCTATCATAAGATAGGAGATGTTTCAAAATATTTACAAGTGTTGAAGGCATGTTTTTTCTTGAAATAATAAATATAATTATCAATGAACATTGCTCAACTTTCATAAATTGAGTTCTAGTCAGGACCCAAATCAATGTATTGAGAATAGGTAAAGAATGTGCTCGAGGGGCTTGATTAACAATAACATGGGTGGGGGAACACCTGGAAGAAATGTTTTCTTATAAACAGTCTGGGGTTAACTTGGTCTGCTCCATGGTGCAGGGGTGACTATGGATAAAGGAATGCGGTTTTTGGGAAATCCCAAAGAATGTCTAGACTTAATGCAAAAATAACTATTTCAATTGGTGGTAAATGGTATGTGCAGTTTTATAATCGAGTTGTTAAACTGGGGTTTACTTGTTAAAATGTCACAAAACAATAAAACACGTAGTCTACTAAGTTTACTATAATTCTTGTCACTTGTAGCGTTTAGTGTCCAGTAGCTTGATTTAGCAACCGTAACCTAGTAACCTACGCTTTCTCTACATCACAGGGAGGGGAGGGGATGTCTATAAATGACGTCATACTCAAGGAGACGGGAGAAGGGAATGGTTAAACATAAACACAAGACATGGAAATGTAGCCTGCTGTCCTGGGGGGGGGGGGGGGGGGGGGAAGGGGGTGAAAATGTTACGTATTTGTAACTATACAGGCCTATTTCTTGCCTGTTTTTAGAACAGAAATGACGAAACAGATCTAGATATCAATTTTGGGCTCAATAATGTTCATGTCTAGGTTGGCGAAGGGTTGTGATGGTTGAACTCAATGACGTAATTTCATTGAGAGATAAGGTTTTTAAGTCGACGTGTGACGTGTAGGTGGGGGGGGGGGGGGGGGAAGAGTAAAAGTCGGCTAAAATTCCTGACGTCATTTACGGACGACCCCCCCCCCAAACACACACCAAGTTTTGTTTTACAAAAGTCACTGCTACGAACGGCTAGTCACTAAACAGTAGTCACTACAGTATACACACTGAACCTGGCTTAGAACACTTACTCAGACTTACTGCTATAGACCACCATCACTAGCACATAATATTGTTTACATAAGGTTAAAATACGACATTACTATGATCGGGATGGTTATAATTGTCAATACTATGCGTGTTAAGCTATATCATAGTAACCATTTTAATGCAAATAAAGCTACTGCAGTAATTTTCATCGACTTAATAGCCTTTAAAACGTAATAATTCTAATGATATGAATTACGAATGCTGTGACAACTGTGAGTTCAAGTCGTAACGGTAACCCTATTCACAGAACAGCATTGGCCTGGACTATTTTTGTTTAGCCCTTGCTAGACGTTTGGGTATACATCAATACTTGCCCCACACGGGCTATTGTAATGACAGACAAGCTCTGACAGCTTTGTACCACAGCAAGACAGAAATACGAGAATAGCTGCACGGCTAGGGCGGTGTGTCGTGTCTGGGTGTTGCCCCTGCCTAGATAGACTCAGACACTAAGACTTGTGTCTCAGATGAATTTTCGGGCGCTTAAAAGTAAGCTGTAGGTCCATGTAGCAGAATAAGGCAAACAACGGTGCCACACCAAGCATTGAAGTAGTGGGGAGGGAGAGAAGAAGACGGGTTCGCTCCAAATGTCGGGTCTTGTAGAAATCTAGCTACGGGTAGTGTAGTTACAACAACGGTGCTGTCGATGTAAACAGTATTACTTCAGTAATATATTCTTTCACTTTATAAATAATTAAATAATGAATATCATAAAACCACAGGTTACGCATACTCCATATAGTTTATATGTATCTAAGTTTGTCTGTAGGTCTATGTAGAGATTAGGTACACCGGCCAGACAAGTCAGGCATGGACAGCAATCTAGACGGAAACAACTTAACACTTAAGTTTGACCTTTAACGGTCAGACACAACGGACGGAGGACAGAGATATAATGATAAGAATGCTAATAATTTTATGGTGGCAATTCAACCTAAAAAACCGACTCGGTTAACCTCCGATAGTAACAGCTGGAAGTGTGAAATCGTTAATATGGGATGGAGATGGATGCAGAGAGCAGCCCTGACACGACAATAATAACAGTAGATTAGTGCTCGAGGCTTTCCTTCCAGTACAGTGCACGAGACTGGGTGCATTGTAGCGTACAAAAGCTTAAACCGCAAAGTTTTTTTTAAAAAAGTTATTCTTTTTATAAATCAATGCAGGAGTGTTCAATATCTAGATCTAATGTTTATGAGATCTCGACAACTCAATAACAAAAATATTCGGAATTACATAGGGAAAAAAAAACAACCATTTAAATAATGAAATCTCTGAAGCGCCATTAATTGAGGCTTATTTATTCCTTTGCAATTGTATTGTTAAATTTTTCTTCAACTGAACTGACAATTATTGAAAACATTTTTTTAAATAACTGAAATAAGACTATCTGATATTCTAAAAATGACAGAAAAACTATTCTGTTACAATTTTGACAAGGTGCTATAAGCGTTTTGTTCAGATATATCTTTGACAATACGAGTTATTGAAATCTTTTTTTTTTTAATCCGGTGCCTATAATAAGTGTTCTTCATTTTTTTCTTGACACTCGTTACTAACGACAGATATAGATCTATATATTGATATTAAACCTCAGAGAGCGATGTAATCAACACAAACATGTAATTTATTTTGAGTCGCACTAGCTCGGCGTGAGGAGGAAATCAACATACACGAGGGGCCAGTTGGGTGTCGCCCAATGATCTAGTGGTCACCAGCATTCAAATGAGGTATCAACACAGTACCGCTGCAAGCAGGCCGCGGCAATAATTTTATTATTTATTATATGAGAATATAGAGGAAAATGTTTGATTTTAGCTTATAACAACTGTTGCGATAGTATTAGTATGCGAATGAAATCAACTATTCTTTATGACATCATAGTGCACACGTTAAGTAATGAGATGGGTAAGAAGAACACGGTGCCGCAGCGAAGTAAACAAAACTAAGTATCCTAAGTATCCTTGTCTCGTGGAAGACTCGCTTCAAGGTATACGAATTTCTAAAGCCATAAACATGAGTTGAAACCAGATAACCCGCTAATACCGCCATTTAAATAGGGACTAGACGGCTTAAGATTCCTGCAATCGTTGGCCTAGAGATGGATTGTATACAAATACAGTACATTCATAGCAAGCGTGGATATAACATTTTTTTTGTACTTTTAATAAAGGCATAACTGTTATTTTGAGTTTTTGTTTTGCACTGAATGTTTTTAGATATTTTGGATAAACAGAGTATATCTAGTATACAGACAAGACTTCGAATTCCTGGATACTATTTTTTTTTCGATTCCAATTTTTAAAACCTTACAAAATAAAAAAAAAAATTAAAAATTTACTTTGAAAGAAAATAAAGAAGTTTTTAAATCACAAGACCTTAACAAATAATGTCGGCCAAGAGTTGTTTTCAATGGATATTTTTCCTGTAACTCACACATCTAATGAAAAGTAAAGAGAACTAAACATTTAGACATTTCTGTGAAATAAAGTTGAATTGTAAGTATGGTAAAATAATAATCATTAAAAAAGTTAAAAAAAACCCACGTTTTCTGATTGAACTAAAAAGTAGAAAATAAATGCTATACATCACAATAATGCAAGCGATCACTCTACTATAAGCGATCAAAAACGTGGGGCGCCGAAGTAAAAGTTATATTACTATTGATTAGATAATACTATTGACTTTTATTAGGGAGCTTGTAGAGAGTCAACAGTATTAGAAACTGTAAGAAAATCACGGTGCCCCACGTTTTTTATCGCTTATAGTAGAGTGATCGCTTGCATCATTGTGATGTATAGCATTTATTTTCTACTTTTTAGTTCAATCAGAAAACGTGGGTTTTTTAAAACTTTTTTAATGATTATTATTTTCTACTTTTTAGTCTTTGTCTGTTTGTTTGCATTAAAATCTTGCTATCGATTTTGTCTTTTCACTTTTTTTTGGGTAAACGAAGACAACTCGTAAAAAGACAACTCGTAAAAAACACGTTGTGTGAATACGTTACTGACTAGAACACATAGATTTGAACCCGTGTCGAGTGGGATAGCAATCGTGTGCCCAACCACTCGACCATATTGTCTCCCCCATACTGGCCACCAGTTGTTACGGTTGTTTGTACACAAACACCGCGTGAACACTACTCAGTAAGCAAAGAGGGAGAGTACCGAACCTTGTTTTCATCAAATTACAGTTACTGGGTGATGTCCCTTTTTCCCCACGTTTTTACTACAATTATATAGCGGTCTAAAATGCTCAATAAAATGTTTCCATGGATCAATTTAGTA